TCAAGTTGGTATTCTTGATGATTATTATAGCAAGTAGTAAAAACTGGGTCCCCTAATAAAGATATCCATATCCTTCTTCCTCAGAACTTGTAGTCTTCTACAGGTATGACTAAAGAATTGAAGATGCAGAGATAATTCTGTATGGATGATCCTTCTGTTCACATGAGTCTTTAATAGTGGTGATTCTGGAGCCAGAGCATAGCTTACAGGATTGCCTATCACATGGTGTGGTTCTAGGGTAGGTCTTAAGCATGGGCTATCAGTGAAACTCTTTTCTCACTGTAATCCGGGAGAGATATGCTGATGAAGTAAAGGCACAGGGAATGGAGAGTTCTTGAAAGATGGAGAGAGAGTGAGCATGAGAAAAGTAATGTGAGATACCTCTAGAAGTTAGAAGAGTCAAGGTAGCACATTGTTCCTGAAGCCTGCAGAAAACTCTGCCAGTAAGCCTTCATATACTTAATTAATCAGACCACTGAGCCTCCTACTGAACAATCATTTCCTTGCTGATGGCAGTGCACGTCCTGATCCCACTTAAGAACCTATATTCTGATACTATAGACCACTTCTAGCAATTGCATTTCAGCCTCCTTCTTGCCATTAGTCCTTCATTGTCATAGTTTGATTCCAATGTCATAGCATTTACCTTATATCACCAAATCTTGTGGCTTTAGATATGCAGACTGTGAGTTCTGAAAATATCACTAATATTCACACAAGTTAGGTAGAGATGAATAACCATTGATGATTTTTCACAAATAATGCATGCTTTCCCAGTGTATCTTAGGAATGTCTTCCAGAAAGACCTTGTCACCGGCTTCATTTGTTCTACATGTGGCTACTTCTGTCCTACTCAAAAGAAAATCACAAATTGACCCCCATACCTTTTAGTTCTGATAACAAGGATTAACTCTTCTCATTTTATGTGAAACATGGAATCTGTTTTCCATTTTAAAAGGTTCAGTTTTGTTCTCTGGAACTTGGCTATTTGATTCTTCTCTGACTTCACAACACACATTTAAAATATCTTTTTTTCTCAATGTTTTATTCTTTTTTTTAGGGGGGCAACTTTTGGCACTAATTTATATCCTTCCAGATCTACTTGAAATTTGTTTTACTTCTGTTTTCTTTCTGAGATTATTTTATCCCATGTAAAAACCATTTAGTTTAGTAATTGTTAAGTGTTCCACCTTTCCTGTCAAAGAGACTAGCTTACATTCACAGAGCACAGAATTGGGAGTAAAAGTCTCATAGCTGTTTCTGCCTGGGCTGACTTCAGATGATGATCTTTAGATCTCTACTTCCTAAGCAGCTAGGATTACCGACCGGCATAAGCCGCCAGCACCCAGCACTGTGGTTAATTTCTATAGCTAAAATTTTTGGGGTGAGCTCTTTTTCAGTGTTTTGTCCCAGCACTGTTTCTAATCAATGAGCTTTTTAGCCCTACATATATAAGCTAGTACTTCACTAGTTACCAATCTCAATTCACATTCTGCAATAATATTCTATGCTAAACTTTTAACCTGGGTTCTTGGTTTTTGTTAAACAATTTGAGCACAGACCTGAGTAAAATAAATCAGAGTTTGCTATGCCCCTAGAACATCACTTCCATTCTACATAAAAAAACAAATAATTTCTTCTAAATGTTACAGGTACTAATGTATAGAAGTGGGATTCAAACCCAGGTCTGTGGGAATTAAGAACCCATGTAAAGAGAACACTGACTGTGCTCTACTCACAGGATACAGAACACGGCAGTAACCAGATCCTTTTATTCTCTTTTCTGAAGCCCAGTCCCTTTTGGATGGCAGCTCCATGATCTTCCTCTCTAAGTCTGGGGTGGTGGTGTTGGTGGTGCTGGGAATGGATTCCTGGGCCAGGGATCTCCCAGACTTCCTGAAATCTGCCATGGGCCTTCCCAGGCAATGCTACATGATTGTCTAATTATACCCTGCTCCTAATACCCACATTGCTGGGAGAATACGGATGATCCAGCAGCTAAAGGAGTGTCATGGTAGATTCCCTCTATCAACTGACTCAGTATTATGGCAGGTGATGGATTAATAAACATTTTCTAAACTCTTCTTATTGTTGCAAATATAAATACAATCTAAATATCCCGCACATTCTCTCTTCCTTTACCATCCCCATTCAAACAACCACACACACACACACACACACACACACACACACACACACACATACACACACCACACAGCTTACTGACTAGTCATATCAGAAGGCTTACATGTTTTTGAGGTATAGTTGGTGTATTAGTTGATGCACCTTTCCTCATTTTTTTCCATTTTTAATCTTGGGAAGCTCTTCCTCATCCTTCATTACTTAATTCACAAGCCAATTTAGGCTTCACCAATAAACAGGTATGTGCATTTATCCTTAATTCTGATTTCTTTCTGTCATAATTGGGTGGATTCCAACCCAGCCTGTCATTCAAGATGCTGAACCCCATGTCCACATATCCATAGCAGCAATTATCTTTTCATCTTTAGCCTCTGCCATGAGCCCAATGCCTAGGTCTAGCACATACTCCATGTGCTGACTCCCGTCCTCCTAGCAATGCACATAACAGGCACTGGGAGTGGTATAGCTGAGGCACAGAGGGATTTGTGATTTGTACATCACAGACATAAACTAGTTTTCTGATTTCAGAAAGGAACATTTGGTGATACTTCAACTCTTTCTAATACACCAATAACTCATACAGAAACAGTGAAATATTCCCTGATTGGGTTACATTTCTCCATGACAATATTGATTTATTTCTTCCCCCAAGTCTTACCCTGATTATACTTCAAGAGCCGATCCATTCTCCCTCTGCAAGAGATCAACATAGACTTTCTGCGGGAGAATAGTGTCTTAATCAACAGCCTCTTTATTCTTTATGCCTTAAGTCTCAGTGTTAGTTTCAATCTTTCTGTCTCTCCTTTCTCCTTCAGACTGATGACAAACTCAAGGCCTCAGTATTCAGCTGTTCTAGGACTGACAGTTCCTCTCTGAGTTCTGCCTCCTTATATGATTCCTGGGACACATTCTTAGGGAACAGTACTTTCTGTGAACCTATAGCAAGCAGGATATCTAAGCCAGGGTCTTTCCCCAGGGCTCCTAGGTGAGTATGGCCATGACTGAAGATCATGAGACTATGTCTGGATGGCCCTCATCAGTGTGACCAGAGACCTCAGCTTCTAGCTCTTGAACCCCACCATAATTTTGATCAACTCAATGACCAATATCTCCATTTGTCGCTAACCTTCACTGCTGCCCATAGCATTTCTTTCTTTTTTTTTTTTTTGCCCATAGCATTTCATTTCGCCTTCACATTGGGTGTAAGTGTAGCTGCCAGGTAACTATAAGTTCCATAAGGAGCCAAGAGAGTAGTCTCTCAGTTTCTAGAATTTTCTATGCAGAATTGATCATATGGAATTTATTATATGCACTGTAGAAGTTATTATGATCTAGAAACAGCATGTAATTTTCCATAGGGGTTGGTTCTAGACAGTTCCTGCATGTTGGCATTTTTTTTCAAGTGAAAATAAAACAAAAAAGAATTGCGAGCTGAATCCATCATGTGGTAGACACAGGTGGCTGCCAGGTCTTGTAATAAGGCTGGTTTTAATTGGAATGATCTATAAATGTGACACACACATTTGAGCTGAATGCAGTGGTCCATGCCTACAATCCCAGCCACTCAGGAGATGATTTGGAGGGTAATAATTTGTAGAGATTCTGGGAAAAAATATTAGATTTCCCCCTCATCTCAATAAAATAGCTGAGTACGATGGCATGCAATTGTTATCTCAGCTATGTGGGAGAAAAGTAGTAGGGTTTCAGCCCTGGCTGGCCCAGGCCAAAACACTCAAGGCCATACCTGAAAAATAAGTAAAGCAAAATCAGGTAAGTGTGTGACTCCAGCAGTAGAGGGTCTGCCTAGCAAGTGTGAGGCCTTGGGTCCAAACCCTCAAACCTCTGAAAATGAACCTCAAAAGTCTTCTTTCAAAGATCATGGAAAGTAGAAAATACATTTCCAGAAAGTTTTTATATTAATTATACCTGGAAAATATAATACACACTGTATTTTGTGTCTAATAAAAGAAGCTACAACAATGCCAAGATGGTTCTTGTTTTCAATTTTCTTATGAAGATCACAATGCATCCCAGATTACCTATGTAGCTTGTATGATCTTCTATTGGACTTCCCTTTGACACCTTGAGCTTAGTTAATCTCTGGAAGCTTCCCTACAGTTGCAATGGAAAATAAGTACAGAATTACAAGGCAGAGAAGGCTGTGAATAACAGGAGGAAGCTCCTGGAAGAAACGTTTACATTTCTGTTCCATTTACGAACTGACCTGCTACCTGCCTTGCCAGGCTTTTGGGAAGACCCTCATGGTCTCCAGAGAAATGAGGCTGAACCAAATGGCATCTGTATCCTACTTGCTGAGTGACACCTAACCTCAAAGGCTTAAAAATCAATATTGATCTTTGTCATTTATGTTCACTTGGCATTTAAATATCCTTCAGATTTATTACCTTCAGGTTAAGATTCAGTGATGGCTTTGATAGCCAAGCGGTGGAAATAAGGTATGTAGATATCATTTAATTTATGAACTCTATAGCTTCAGGGTAGCTTTGAGTTCAAGAAATATATTGACCCCATATACATTACCCTTCATTTTGTGGTGAGGATTTCCAAGATGGATCCCTATTGTGCGATTTAATTTATGGTCCGGCCAGGTACACGCATCCCCATACAACATTTCAGTATAAGTTGCACTAGCCATCAGAGAGAGATGAAATTTGGGCTTCCGAGAAACCAGCTCGATTGGATCACTCTTCTCCATGCAGGCTGGGGTACAAAGTAGCACCCTTAAAGCTTGTCAGCGGTTTGGGTCTTTTTCTGCTCTGAGAAGCTGCACGCATCAGCCTAGACAAGCAGAATCAGCCATGCTTAGCAGGCAGAGGGCGGCTCCCGGAGTTACTTACGTTGACAGCCGTGGTGCCAGGAATTTCCCGGCAGACACTCATCACACTTAGGCCCTGTAGTTCCAGTCTTACACTCACAAAATCCTGAGCCATTACAACGATCATGGATTGAGCCAAAACGGTTACAATAACATTCTGTAGAAACAAGATAACATACAGGCTGGCGACAAGTCCACATGGCTTAGAGGTTAGCAGCAGCGCAGCGGCACTTACTTAAAAGGCATCACTTACTTAAAGAAAGATGTCCCTTAATGAAATGCTCTGGCAATAACGACTCTTTCAGAAGCACTCGTTTCTTTGCTCAGCCTTCTATGATATCATTTTTTATGAGAGGGGAGGAAATCGGCTGAAAACTTTCAAGGAAATAAGACATCATGCTCTTCAGCGGTAACAGATCGTAATGGAGATTCCATTTGTTAGGCTGTTTTGAGATGGTTTAATGAACTCCACGAGAAGTTTGTGTATCAAGGATAAATCAATATGCCATCAGTGTAAAATCTGTTTTAAATTATTAAAATGGGATTATCTGTTACACTCAATATTTGAGAACTGCTGAGCATTTAAAATGTGTAATATGAATGCACTTTGCTCATTCAAACGCAGTTTTGCTTTATGATTTGGGACAGTGCCTTAACTTATTTATGGCATACTGTTTTCTGATGAGCTCTTAGATGTTGCATTTGCTCAGCAGAGTTGGTATAGCTCTTATGCAGCTCAGATGAATGATCATGAAAAGCATTCATAATTCCCAATAAATTTCCACATAGATATAATTCCAGATGTGCATTTTTCATGATCATTTTTGTTGGCAGGGCAATACCATTTTGCATAATATGAAGTAAATGGAATGCCTTTTGATTCCTCATCCATTCTTATATAGGATAGTTTACTTCTGAGACTCTATTACATGGAAAGCTAGAGGGAGAAGTGGGAATTCCTTAGGCTTTCATTAGCTGGAAGGTTGACACGTGTCATTTGTAACTTAGTTATTTGTGGGCCAAAGTTCCTTTGTGAACCAAAGACTGCATGATTGCACTATGCAGTCTTTGGCAAATTATTCTTCCTCACTGTTCTGTAATTTCCTCTGTTTTAATATAGAGCCACTATTTTTTTTCTGGCTAAAATTGAAAGACTATCATATAGCCAATAAACCAAGCCGCCTACCTAGTTATGTCCTGAGAGGTTCAGCTGAATCAAATTTACTGCCACAGATTGATATGCTACCTAGGGCCTTTGATCGGACTTTGTGTTCTTGAGGTCAATTAGATATTTTCCAAGAATTCAGACCACCTTAAAATTATGATGTATTTCATGTCAAGTTGAGTTTTGAATTCAGAATTCTTAATAAAATAAACATTTATTTTAAAATTAATTAATTAATTGTGCTCTCCTTGCAGCATGCATTTAGGGTCTGCGTGCTTTTCTCTCAAGGCAAATGTTCTTTATTTCTGCTTTTTTTTTTTTGGAGGTTAACTAGAGGTATGAGTCTCACAGCCTTTTGTCCCTTCAAACTTTGATCCAACCTCTGTCCTCAGAAAACAGCTTCCTAAGTAGCTAATATTTCAGGCATGAGCCACTCTTGTCAGATGAAACAAAATATTTATAATAGTGAAAAATGTAGATAAAAATAAAGTTAAATGATCCCTAAAATGCCCCTTTCTTGAAAATCTAGTTTGGTTTACCCTTAATAACTGGGCTTCTTTTTAAAGTAATAAGTTTTATTCTACCAATATTGTATATGTGGGAGCAATTTAAAAGAATATTTAAAAACAATAAAGTGTTTGGCTTTTAATGTCTGTCCATATGTGTAAGTCTATTCTTTTATCAAGACTGTAATATATTTCTTGTTGTGAAGTGCATTTGATCAAAGTACATGATATGCATGTTGCAAATATCATAATGAAGCTTCTTTGTATATGCTAATGAAAATAATACATCACTAATATTTTGTAAGCCAGTTAGCAAAGTTACATCTGGCCAGCATGAACTCACACGCCGTTCTAGTTAAGTACTCCAAAATAATTAATATAAGATTTTAGATGAAAAAATGTAAATAAAGAAAAACAAACCCAAACAATAGGACACTGAACCCATTGTAAGTGCCAGGGTATGTTTATAAGAGGCTAAATGTAATGTGATTCCATGACTTTATAAAAAGACAAGGAGAGTAATGATTTTATTCTCCACTGCTTGTACAAATAATTCAGATTTTCAGTTAAGGAGCCATATTCAAGGTTGGATGTCGCAGTAGTGAAAATGGCCTTGGAGAATCATATTTTTTTTTATTCCATGAAACGATAAACAAATATGCAGGATTGTGGAATTGCAAAACAACCCGAAATACTTTTGGTAGCTTGATTAAAAAGTTGTACTACAACTGATTTATAGAGATTAAGATTGCTTTGTATTTGCTTTGTTCTATATAAGGTACCTCTGATTACCTGATCTTGGTTTCAAGGAGAATTATAAATAAATACATCCTAACTTCGAGGCTCAGCAACTGCTGAGCCCTGTGTTTTATTCTAATGCAGAGCTTGTTGGGAGGCATTATTAATAATGATTACCCAAGGTCATGAACCGTGTATCCTCTAGCTTCCTGCCTAATGCTCAAGTTTATATGAAACAGAAGCATGTGAGGATGTCATCTTCATGTAATTGTTGTGTCATCACAGGATAATTACATGCCTCTTTGGAGACATGGCTGGACTGGGAATTTATATATGAAAAATAGGTAAATTCATCAGTAATTACAAAGGAGCATCACTGTGGCAACAAGGACGAGCCAGCTGCATTTTGTATTTGCTGCAATATAAAATTATATAACTACACCAAAATATCTAAGGGAAACAGAGATAGGAGCTGTTCCTTCATAGCCAGTAATAAATTGGATTGGAACCCCTCTGTACATCATCTTGACAATAAAATTAAATTAAAAATGCAAAAAAATGGAAAAGCACCTTAAGAAAGTTTTAATTTAGAGAATTTGTAGGGAAAATTCAAAGTTTCCACAACTAGCCTGATTCCTTGAAAGTGAATTATGTAAATATCTATTCATTTTCATTAGTGCTTTCTAGACAGAATGGAATTAAATTTAACTCTCAGTTGTGTGTGGTGGATCCTGTTAAATTTGACATTTAATCTTGTCCTTGACTCTTTGCCCTTCAGGCCTTCCTGATTTATTTAAATTGTTAAAATTGTGAAACACTTTAATTTTATGTGTTGTGTGATGTATGATTAGGTTTTATCCTTGTGCTCTTTTTATTTTACCTTTTCTGTTTGTTCCATGTTAGTAGCGTGGCATTCATGTCTTTCTTTTTTTTTTTTTCTTTTTTTAAGGCATTAGTTTTATTAATACTCGAGTCTTTGTAACCTAGGTGTAATGAAAGCAATTGAACTTCTGCTTATAAACTCACAGTGAAATTGCTACTGTCATCCAAAAAGCACAGTAAAAGGCATGTTAAAGTAAAATCTGACATGCTTAGCTGTGCTAATTATGACAGAATAGTTAGAGGAGTATTCAATTTTTGAAGTCAAAATGCCCATTGCTAAAACTATATGATTTGGGTCAATTTGCCTTTTTTTCTCTAGTAGAATAGAAGGAACATTATTAGTATAATACTTACCCTACTATTTTGCTAATGAGTATTAAGTTTAAAAAAAATTACAAGTCCACTCACAAAGTGTCCTATCCATCCCATCTGATCCTGACAAATCAGACCCTGAGATTCAAAGGACTTACCTAAGGCACACAGCCATCAAATACGCACTGGATTGGAACCAAACTCTCCAGGCTTTAAGTCCAGTACTTCCTCTACTAATTCACAAATGGTAAACAAGGAAGTACTTTGCAAAATAGAAACCACTGTAGATATAAACAATTTTATGTATACTCGGCCCAATTAAATTCCAAAACAACCATACAGCTATTCTATGTAACACAGCAAGAATCTATTTGACTTTAACAACCCAATCAAAAAGCAATGATCTTAGACAGAATTGGGTTCCCCCCTTTTTACTTCTTTCTTTTTATCCTCTTTCATCCCTGTCATTTTCCTTCTTCCATATTTTGTTTAATTCAGATTCTACATGAAAAATTCTACCTTCAAAATTGACCAGATAGTTAACTATCAGTCTGATAACAGATACAATATTTCATATATATACATTTTCACAGTATTCTGCACAATATAACTTAGTATAGAGTGAAATTCCATTTATTGTTTCTTCTTTTTCCATCAGCCTCCTTTTTTTGAAAAAAAAACAAACAAATTCTTGTGTCAGTATTGGGGCTTGAACTCAGGGCCTGGGTTCTGTCTCTTAGCTTTTCTACTCAAGGCTTAAACTCTACATCTTGAATAATAACTTCACCTCTGGGTTATCTGTCTATCTGTCTGTCTGTCTGTCTATCTATCTCTTACTTACTTTTGGTGGTTAATTGGAGATAAGAGTCTCACAGACTTTCCTGCCTAGTTGGCTTTGTACTGCACTCCTCCTATATAGCCCTCTGAGTAGTTAGGGTTACAGGTTTAAGTCATTAGCACCTAGCCAGCTTCCTTTTCTAACAGACAGGCTCCACTATACAAAAGGTAGGAGGAGTTTCTCTGAATGAGGAAGGGCACCTGTTCTTCAGGTGGTAGGGTCAGCTGTGGGGGAGGGCATGGTAGCACTCAAACTGTAAAGATGCTGCTTTGAGCACTTATTCAATCTGAAAGCTAAGAGAATTTATTGCCTGGAATAATTTTGGGAAAAGATTCTTTATTTAAGGGTCTATGGAAAAATTCAATAAATGGAATTTCATTCCTAGGGTAGAAAAGTGAGCCCAAATCCTTCATTACCAGTTGTTAAAGCTTTCAGTTCCAATAATAACTTTTCTTTTTGTTTGCCAGTACTGGGGCTTGAATTGAGGGCCTCCAGCTCTTGATTAACTTTTTTCTGCTCAGGACTGGCACTATACCACTTGGGCCACACTTCTACTTCTGGCTTTTTACTTGCTAGTTAATTAGAGATAAGAGTGTCTCAGATTTATCTACACTACCTGGCTTTCAAGATCAGTCCTCAGATCTTACCCTCCTGGCTTAAGCCACCAACTCCCAGCTTCTAATAGTGACATTTTAAATCCATCAGTCCTTGTTGATCATGAATGATATGCAAGATTTTCTGCTTCAATAGGTCCTATCTATAATTAAATCCTGTATAATGAATTTCCATTTTGAAGATTGATCCTACAATTTCAGAACATAGAAACAGGTCAACATGACCAGGTTTAAAGATTTCATGCACATAAAGAAAAGAAGAAAGAAAACTCTTCATTTCCCAGGCATGATTTCTCAGCTCATTCTCTTTAAACCCATAGCAACATAAAAATGATTAAAAATAGAGCCCCCCAGTATGATTTCATTCAGCACAAGTAAAATTTTAATTTATCACAGATTTCTGCTTCATTGAGAAAGTTCATTCTGGCTCAGCTGTGGTGCAAATCACCAGTCTTCCCAATCTAAATATTAGCTCCCCATAGCTTGGAAAAGCAGAAAACAAAAGCTGAAATTATAATGGAACTGACCTATGCACACATTCTCATCGTCCAGCTGTGCAGAAGCATTTCTGAAGTAGCCCAGCCTGCATAACTCACAGTGCTGCCCTCTAGTGTTGTGTTTACAGCTCACGCAAATGACTGTATTGAGCAGATCGATATAACTGCATCGATTGGAGTGGCCGAAGCATTCACAGTCTTGCAAGGAAGAACAGAGATGTATACAGAGTGTATACAGCAGCAGAGTAACAGCACACTACATGCTTGGGCTAAATGAGGGATGGAGAAAAGATGGTGGGATGGCATTACATAAATGGGAATCAACATTGACACATGGCGACAACAGGTGGTTGTGACTGGGCATGGAAGTAGCATCTGTTTCAAGCAGGATAGAAAGGTCGGACATTAGGAGCATGACTGAAGATTGGTAATTCTTGGCAGACAAGATGAACAGAAGCATTTGCAGGTGTACACCTTTAAAATTTGAGAAGGCTTGGTTTCCACTGATGCAAAAGTCTAAGTTTTGCACATGGAAGTTTTATTGGATCCCCCACACTCCCTTCATATCTGCAGTCTTTTCTTTTTCTAAAAAAAAAAAAAAGGAGAGACACATGTGAGCAGCAAGAGTCTGAAGCTGCTGTTGCCCATGGCTTCCTTGTCTCACTATAGTTTAGGTTAAGGCACTAACAGGGTTTCATTGAAATCATGGCCAATTTAGTAGGGACTGAAACAACCCTATAATACGTTGCTTTTCCCTGATGCTTAGAGAAGATGACTTTCTTACATATTTCTCTCTTCAGGCCAAAGGTGCATGGTTATGGGTAAGAGAAAGCACACACACACACACACACACACACACACACACACACACACACACATTCAACTGGGGAGAGATTATTCATATGAAAAAAAACTATTTTTAAGATTTCCCTTTCTTTCAAGTGTCATGCTAAGTCTGCTACTGAAAACAAAACAAAACAAAATACAAAACAACCCAAAAGGCAGATCACTAATAACTGACAGATTTCTCTTCCTTCCTTTCTTTAAAATGTTGGAGCTGCCTCTGAGTTTTGGGAGTGATGGTGGCAAGAACTAGAAAGGGAATGTGAAGATGGACGAAGAGAGGAGTTGGAAGGGGTGGAGTCGGGGAGGGGTACTACATACCTGTCTTCTGTCTCAACCAAAATCAAAAGTTATTAATGTGGTTCAATCTTTTCCAAAGAAATAATAAAATCAATGCCTCTTTTGGTACAATATTTATTTAAATATTTGTTAAATATCTGTTAAGTAGGAAAAAAAAGAAGGATAATGAGGTGGGTCTTCTTACATATGGAAGATAAAGCATGACTCTGAAAACTGTGTTTATCCAAACATAGTTTTTGTGTTAACCTATAACTTTTTGTTAACATCTAACTTGTATCTCACCAGGGGGCCAAACACAGTCACTCTTCAACCTCATTCTTCATTCATTCATTCACTCATTCAATTTATATTTTATAGAGTCAATCTGTTATGTGGGAAAAACTTTGCTAAATGCTGATTTACTCTTTAGACTGTGTAACATTGTAGAAAGATTATATTTTACTGAGAATAAAAATGAGTGTTATCAAGCAAGGTAAAATAAGATAACTAGCTCTAAAACAATTGTTTTCGCTAACATGCTACCACTTGTTAGAAGAATGTGGATTTATTTGTTAGAGAGTTGGCTACTCCAACAGATTGATGTGATTTGGCTAAAAATGGAGGACACTGGGACAGTGAAAAATAGAAGATACCTTGGATTTGGATCAGTAGCTTGCTGGGCTCAGTTGATTCAAGAAGACACAAGAAGAAGCAGAAGATCCTGAAGCAACCCATTTCCTTTCCTGAGATCAGCTGTATGTAAATATATGGGTAGGAAGAGGGGCTAGAGATGAGGGAAGGGAGGAGCCAGAGTGGAAAGGAGCGTTTGGGGAGGAGACTTTGGAACTTCCACATGGAGTAAGAGAAATCAACTCAATAGTTAAAGGATGCCAAGAAAAGATAATAATAGCACCGTCAATAATAATCAAGTGACAGATTCTCAAAGTCAATTTCTTTGGACAAAAATACACATTTCAAAATCAACTAGATCTGAGTTGCACCTTGTGTGTACACGCACCACCTGTGTCTTCCCACAAAATCAGAAAGCCTTCTTTCTAGAACTTTCCTGGCTTCAGAGTTTGCAACAGAGAAAATCTAGATGAAACTTTCTAGAAACAGTGGTTGCAAGTTTCTAAACCTGCTTGTTTTCCCAAGGATTGCTCAGAGCTGCCTGGAATTCCTTTGAAAAGGGCAACAGACCCCGTGTACCTAATTTCATGAAACCAGCTTTCCCCAAAGCACCTCCTATGTACAAAACTTCATCTTAGGCACTTTCTGGAGCTCTGTGGAAGCTTGACTATTGAGTTAGGCAAATGTGCTTCGGTAACTAGAAAACAAAGTAGCATCCATTAACAAGTAAAATAAATAAATAAATAAAATCTAGGCAGAGGAGGCACTCATTTCCACTTGAGGGAAATGGGTAAAATGGCCTTCAGAAATATACACAGAAGCAGGTAGGTAGATTTATTTTATGTTATAGTTATCGTTATTTATCTATTTTTTATTTATGTATTGTGCTGGTATTAGCTTTTTTTGCTCCAGGCCCCTCTCCTTGCAAGGGAAGACGTAATTAGCAATTCTCCTGAAAAGAATAAAAAGGCAGGAAGCTAGTGGAGCAAAAGTTGGAGAAATTTTGTCATATAGTTCTTTTTGTGGTGATTTCAGGGGCATTACAGGATTTGTTCAAAAGTCAAAACTACTCATTTAGCCACTAGTTGACCAAGTATTATCCAAGAAAAAAAGTCTGAAAACCATTAAAGTTTGGGGCTGTGAATGTAGCTCGCGCATTTGCCTAGCACTCCCAAAGACCTAGGCTTAATTTCCAGTACTACCCAGGGGCAGAGAAACAAGAAAAAAGAAAAGAACGAAGGAAGAAAGGAAGGAAGGAAGGAAGGAAGGGAGAAGGAGAGAAGGAGAAGGAGAGAAGAACAGAGGAATGAAGGAAGGAAGAAGTAATCCAAGTATAACATTTTGAGATCAGTCCCATGAACCACTATCCTAATATCCAATGTAACAGCATTATCTCCGATTTGAATTTAATGACAAGTACAGATTTATGTGATGACAATAATCTGTTTGGTTTTTTAAAAATTGTATTGGCAATGCTGGGTGAGAACTCAGGACCTTGCTAGGCAGGAACTCTACCATTTCAGTCAATCCACTAACCCATTTTTGTATTGTTTCTTTTTGAGATAGGGTCTTCTTTAGCCCAAGCTGGTCTTCAGTGGAATCCTCCTGTCTGCTTTCCTGTGTTACTGGGATGACAAGTATGTGCCACTACTTCCAGTCATCAATAGAGGTGGAGTTTCCAGAACTTTTCTTCCCCCCATTGGCTTCAAACCACAATTCCCTGATCTCTGCCTCCCAAGTACCTATGAGTATAAAACCTGAAACACTGCCCCTGACCTACATTAACTTTGTCTTTGTGGGTCGTTGATAGTCAAAGTTAAATAATTATATAAGAAAGCTTACCTAGCCAAACACACTCTATTATAAATTTATGCCAGCAAATAACTAGACATTTAGAATATTCCTCAAGTTAGGAGGTAGGCTTATTAAAACTAGGTTCATTTAAGATTTCTAGGATTCTTATGAGACTTTGATAAAGCTAAGCAATCTGGCCATGATATATTTGAGAATGTAAAATGAGAAAAAATATTTTGGAAAGTGATTTATTAAACATGAGAAGATCATATAAGTGTAAGGCACTGTAATTGTAATTATTAGACTTCTGTATTATCTTCCAGTGCTCTGTTCATTTACCGTTCTTTAGTACCTGCACTTCCCACTCAGGCATTGAATCCATTAATGATTGCTAATGATACAGTTAGGGCTACATTATCATATTATCCTAAAGGGATAATGCTAATAGTTTAATAATTTTCCAATTCACTGACTCACCCTGTCCTTACTTCTCTTCTATTGAAGCATAGAATTCACAGTCCATCTTACAGTCAATTTCTTTTAAATAATCTTGCTTTCTTACCCCCAACCATGCTCTTCTGGAAAAAACTTGATCCTGATTAAATTTCATTCTCCCTCTCTACATTGCCTACATACCAGCAGCTGTTTGAAGCTGGATTTTTTCTTCTCCAAAACACAGGTTTCACTTTGTATTCATGATCATTCACATCAGTGGATTCTCAGGGGTAGCTGACAATCCTTCTTAACAAAGGAGTGTTTTCTTTTGTTCCTTCTCCTTCCCTATTTATTCATTGCTTTGGTTTTTTTTTTCTTAAAATTCTTTTGCAGTTTGTTATGTTCTCAAACATTTGAGAAGCCAGTCCTTGGACATGTTTATTTTAAAAATTCATCTTCTCCAGTCTCATGAATTAAAAAAAAATCGATAGGTGGACCATTCTAAAATAGTACTTTCCAGACTGGACTAAATCCTGTTAGTGAGGGACACTGTGCTCAGACACAGACACTGCATGTAGTGGCCTTCTTAGCAGCCTCATGTGAACATTTAATAACTATTTCAACTTGAACATGTTCACAACTGAGTTCTCAGGCTACATTTTTTTTGGATGGTCGTGGGGTATGAACTCTGGGCCTGGGCACTGTCCCTGAGCTCTTCAGCTCAAGACTAGTGCTCTACCACTTGAACCACAGAGCTACTTCTGGTTTTCTGGTCATTTATTGGAGATAAGAGTCTCATGGACTTTCCTGCCCTGGCTGGCTTTGAACCGTGGTCCTCAGATCTTAGCCTCCTGAGTAGGCTAGTATTACAGGTGTGAACCACCAGTGCCCGGCTACCTTCTTATATCTTCTGCTAACTGGTGGCCCTTTCTCAAGAAATAACAACTTCTTTTTTCCCAATGACTTCAATCAAAACAGATGGAGTTGCTCTTAATGCATTCCTTTTCTCATTCCTACAACGAATCCATTAGCTGATTCCCCTGGCTAGACTTTTAGAATACATTCTGAAGCTGACTACCTCTGACCCTCCTGAACCATCTTAACCTCAGTTCAGGGCACCGCTGCCCCTCACCTACACCTGCCATTGTCTCCAACCTGCTTTCTCTACCCCCAGTCTGGCAGTGATCTCTTCTTCACAGGGAAACACTCAAAATTAG